GAAGAAATAATTTTTGTGTGTGTTTGTGTTTATGTGTTTGTGGTGTATGTGTATTACTTTGCCATAAAAAAAGAGTAAGATTTTGCCACTTGCAACCACATGAATGGACCTAGAGGCTATCACACTAATTGAAATGAATCCAGCAGAGAAAGTTGAATACCATATGGTTTCACTTATACACGGAATTTAGGAAAAAAAAAATGAACAAATAAAATAAACAGACACTTAAATACAGAGAACAAAGTGGTGGTTGCCAGAGGGGAGGTGGGTGGGGGAATGAGCAAAATAGATGAAGGGAATTAAGAGGTACAAGCTTCCAATTATACAATAAATAAGTTGCAGAGTACAGAAGTACAACATAGGGAATATTCAATAATATTGTAGTAACATTGTATGGTGACTACACTTATTGTCATGAGCATTGAAAAACTTGTCAAATCAATATTTTGTATACCTGAAACCAATATAACATTGTATGTCAATTTTACTTTAATAATAAGAATTGTGTAGAAAACAGTAATATCATATACAACATATATATGTGTAAATATATATACATTTCCACACATATGCATATGAAATTGCTGGATCATAAGGGAAATATGTAAAAATGTTCAACTTTAATGGAATTCCCAATTTTATATTTCCAACATCAGTGAATGGGAATTTTATTACTCTCCTTGAGTAGTACTGTCTGATTTTTGCATGTTAGCCTTTCTGGTTCATGTGAAATATTATTGTATTGTGGTTTTAATTTTCATTTTCCTGGTATTTAATACACCTAAATTTTTTATTATGATACTGGCTTTTTGTATAATCTTTGTGAAGTAACTTTTCAAGTATTTTGCATAATTTTCTAATGTGTTAATATCTTTTCCTTATTGATTTGTTGGAGATTAGTTAGATTGAAAACTATTTTCTCCCAGAAAAAAAATAAAATAGAAATTAAGGGTAAATCAAACCTCATATACCAGTTCTCATTGCTGATTTCAGGATGTTGACTTAAAACAGCTTCTCAGTTTTGAAATTCAATCTTTTTTCAGAGAACAGTTTTGTTCTCTTTCTTGCATACACATGCTAGTGTTCCTTGTTTTGGGATCAAAATCACTTTGTTGGTTTCTTAAGTATATTCATCATAAGCTTCTTGAAAGCAGAGATTTATCTTATTCATCTATGTGTTACCTGGTCTAGTTTCCAACATATAGGTTTCCAGTATCTAGTTCCAGCATAAATGAAGTTAGTTTACTTATCCTTGGAAAAACTTTGAATAGTAGTATGCAAATGCTCATTTATATAAAATCAATTAAGATTAGAAGCTGGATCACTATAATTTTTCTCCCACATTGAATTAAACAGTCTCTCATTCTTAGGATTCATTGTAACAAAATGAAAGAATGGTTTCTTATGTGCATTCGATAATTATAAGTATGCAATACTCAGTTTGTGCATAGTGGGTTTTCTGATTGATATATATTGCTAGAAATCCACATTGCTAGGAGTTTTGACTAACCCAAAATACTTATGAGACAAGTTGGTGAGCTCAATCCCTGAGTTATGAGTAGCTATAGCATAAAATTAACACCTCAGTTTGGGCAGCCATTGATTACCTGCTCAGATATCAGAGCTCCAGTCCACATGAAGCCTTGAATGTTCCCTACAATCATCTTGGAGAAGAATTGACAAAGCTTACTAGGAACGTAGGGGAGATTGTAACAAGAAAATTGAGCTAGATCTTGTTTTGTGCAATTCAGTGGCTGATGTTATCTTACTAGTTCCTCTCACAAACACAACACTTACTTAGGAAAATCTCTAACATATACATAAACTTCTGACTGTAATCTAGGAAGTGTTTCACAGGCTTGCAAAAAGAAGCTCCAATAAGAAAATACTTGGACTATTAAATTATCTTAAAGCTGTTTATGTTTTTCAAACATTGCATAAATACTGAGTAGAAGAAATATTTGCATGAGAAAACAGAGATCTGTATACCAAAAGATGATTTGTGATTTCTGGAAATGTAAGTTAATATTTTAAAAATGTTTTCTACTGGACTGTGAGTGCAGCTCATTAAGACTATGCATTCAAAGGAGACACTACAATTCTTGTATTTGAAAAGACTTCTGGGTCAGCACTTTACTAATACTACTGCTCTGACAGTGAACACTAAAAAAACAAATTTAGAGTTAGTCAAACATAATATGGCAGAAGCATGTTAAATTTTATTATAATGCTTACTTGTAATTTAAATTGCTGCAGGGTGCCTGTGGATAAGGAATTTAGCTTAAATAATCATTTGCAGATGATGCATTTGATATTAAATGGTCTGAAAAGGAAGCAGTTTTATTAGGTAAAATAAGTTCTAAACTGAGCTGATAAAATAATTGATGCAGTTCACAGATTGACTGTGATTAATATAACTGTATCCTCTCAATTGAAACAATAAGAACTACCATAGAATTAACTAATTTTAATGTCTCTTATGCAGCTCTTTGAACATATACTGTTAAAGGTCCTGCTATGCTTTTTGAGACCAGTTCTCCAGCTACAGAGAATACTCATAGCTTATTTTTAACATTTTTATGTTTTTTTTTTTGCAAGAGGGCTAACAATTTAAATCAAATTTTTTATATATAATTTCCATACAATAAAGTTCAACTCTTTATATAGTTAGATGAGTTTTGACAAGTGGACATAGTTGTGTAAACAAGACCAAAATTTGTTTATCTGCTGATGAACATTTGTGTGGTTTTTAGTTTTGGGCTATTATGAATAAAGTTGCTATGAATATTCATGTATGTCTTTTTGTAGACACATGTTTTCATTTCTCTTGGGTAAATACTTAAGAGTAAGATTGCTGAGTCAGATGGTAAGAAAGATTGTTATGTTTGATTTTATAAGAAACTGCCAAAACATTTTCCAAAGTGTCTGTACTGTTTTATAATCCCACCAGCAATGTATAAGACTTCTAATTGCTCCACATTCTCACCAGCACTAGCTATTGTCAGTCTTTTTAACTTTGGATATTGTAGTATGTTAGTGGTAATATCTCACTGGGGGTTTAATTTGCATTTCCTTAATGACAAATGATATTAAGCATTTTTTCACATATTTATTGGTCATTCACGTCTTCTTTGATGAAAGGTGTATTCAAATATTTTTCCTGTTTTTGTTCTGTTGGTGGTCCTAAAACTGTGTTGTAAGCATTCTTTATGTATTGTGAATACAAGTATTTTATCAGATATGTGATTTGTAATTATTTTCTCCCAATATGTAGCTCATGTTTTTATTTTCTTAGAAGTGTCTTTTGAAGAGCAAAGATTTTTTTTGTTTTAATTTTAATGAAGTCTTTTAAGTTTCATGCTTTTTGTGCCTGTTGAGAAATAGCCTAACCCAAGGACACAAAAAATTTCTCCTGTTTTCCTCTAGTTTTATGGTTTTAGGTTTTATAAATTTCTTGCTAAATTTTGTATATGATGTAAGTGTTGATAATCTTTTTAAATATGGATTTACATTTGTTCAACCACTATTTTTTGGAAGATTACTTTTTCTTTGTCTGTTGAATTACCTCAGCAAATTTTAAGAAAATCAACTATCATCTATCATCTATCTATCTATCTATCTATCTATCTATCTATCTATCTATCTATCATCTATCATCTATTTATCTATCTATCTATCATCTATCTATCTATCTATCTATCTATCTACCTATCTATCTTATTCTGGACTCTTTTCTGTTCCATTGATCTATATGTCCACCCTTTGTCAATACTATAACTTCTTGATTACTGTAACTTTAATAGTAAATCTATTCAGAACACTTTTGTGACCATTATCTTATTTGAGCCTTATAACCCTCAAACCTAGAATTGCTAAAGATTACTAGTATTATACCCATTTCACTGATGAGTAAATAGAATCACAGAGAGCTTGATTGGCCTGCCCAAATTTACACAGCTATCAGTAGACCTGGCATTAAAATCCCCCCAAATCTTAGGATATTGTTCTTTTCCTACCAAACTATCAAAAATAGTGAAAAGAGACTGTGTCTCAAATCAGTGGTACACAGTGGCACATTAGGAGATATTTTCTGAATAACAGACTCCTACATAAAGGCAGGGAGCTCAAAAAACTACTTAAGACAGTAATAACTTTAGTCCCTCCTTGGTACAAAATAACCTTTTTAGTTCTCAGTATTTGGCTTTGTGAATGGTACATTCAGCATTACTGCATCTGCTGTTGCTCTAAATTGGGGTTAATTGGACTTTGTCTATTCTTAACCCTAATCTAAATGCTAATTAGTTTTAATTAGCATTTAGAAGATTCTTTCCAAAAGGAAACTGTTTCTTGAGTTTCTCTTACTGGAATTTATGTGATTATATTTTTGGCCTTGCAAATTATTTTCAGTTGGTGATTTGCTTAAAAGGTAGCCTTTGAGTAACAGGGTAATTTTCTTCTGTGTTTTATATTCCTTATGCCAAAATGTTATCTTTTTTTTTTTTTGTAGTGTTCAACGATTCATTAGTTGCTTATAACACCCAGTGCTCATCAAAACACGTGCCTTCCTTAATACCCATCACTCGGCTACCCCATCCCCCCACCCCCTCCCTTCTGTAACCCTCAGTTTTTTTCCTGGAGTCCAGAGTCTCTTATGGTTTGTTTCCCTCTCTGATTTCTTCCCATTCAGTTTTCCCTCCCTTCCCCTGTGGTCCTCCACTCTACTCCTTATGTTCCACATATGAGTGAAACCATATGATAATTCTCTTTCTCTGCTTGACTTATTTTACTTAGCATAATCCCCTCCAGTTCTATCCATGCCGATGCAAATGGTGGGTATTCATCCTTTCTGATGGCTGAGTAATAATATTCCATTGTGTATATGTACCACATCTTCTTTATTGTCCTAATTTGATTGCTTTTTAGAATTTTACTGTGCATCAAACATGTATAGTCCTAGGTTTGCATAGGGTAACTGTACTGTTTGATCTTTTCTCCTTCAGAATGAAGAAGTCAGATTCATTGAAAATGAGCTAGAGATTCAAAAACAAAAATACTTTAAACTTAAGACATTTGTCAGAAGCTTGATACTAGCTATGAAAGCTGATGATAAGGAACAGCAGCAGGTAGGTGCCAGAAGAGAATAGTAAGCTGTAATGTATCATGGTGAATGACATGTCACACTTGAGTTCTTAATATTTTTTTTATTTTTATACTTCATTCCTGCCTGGCCTCAAGGAAGGATTTGTTACTTTATAACCTTTTTTGCACAGTATTTTTAAGAACAGATATTCAGATATTTGTGTGCTGCATTAGTGGAAAATCAAAAAAACTGATTAACATACTTTGTTAATTTCAGGCTAGACTTAAGTAGGGAAAATAATTTTAAAAATTTTAAAGAAATTCTCAGTTTTTGTAGAGCCTGGGCTACCCTAACTGGAGAGGCACACATTTTGGAATCCTTTGTGAATAAAATATTCTGGTGCAGAGTTCAGGGAACTATGGCTTTTGGGCCAAATCCAACTTGATGTGTGTTTTTGTAAATAAAGTTTTATTGGAACTCAAAAAAAAATAAAGAGGTGAGGCATTTGCCTCTCTTCTGGATTTCAGTTACCCTCCAGACCCCACTAGATTTCACAAATATTTGAATACCTTCTATTTCAAAATATGTTGCTTATCACAAAGAAATATGAAGTTACTTTGTGAAATTCTTTGTGACCACAGAGCATCATTTACTTTTCCCAATTTAACTAGAATGTTTGGTTCCTTTACCCCAAAGCTGTCTTTTGTTTGTCACTATGGATTTTTTATTTACAAATTCCTCCCAAATTACATGTTCTGTCTCATTTTTATTAATGTTACATTCAATACTAAATGATACCAAATTCGCTTCTGAGTTGTATACTATTGTGTCGATTTCTTGAGACATTCAGTGAATAACATGTCACACAGGTAACAGTTAATTTGGAAGCATTCTTGTAGGTTTTTATTCAGCAAGGAATCTCAAGCATACAGTACAAAAATTCATCCCTCATGTCCAAGCAAGACTACTCATATGTAGCTAGTCCCAGATATCTCCAGGGAAAAAGAAGAGTCTTAGCATCCCACAATTCTCTTTTATTTTATTTTTTTTTTAAGATTTTATTTATTTATTTGAGACAGAGAGAATGAGAGACAGAGAGCATGAGAAGGAGGAGGGTCAGAGGGAGAAGCAGACTCCCTGCCGAGCAGGGAGCCCGATGCGGGACTCGATCCCGGGACTCCAGGATCATGACCTGAGCCGAAGGCAGTCGCTTAACCAACTGAGCCACCCAGGCGCCCCCACAATTCTCTTTTAAAAGAAAAGAATTTACTCATGAGATTCAAACCAGCATGTATAGTATGTGTCTGGTTTTCTAAAGTTTGCTCTTCCCATGCCTCACACATACAGACATTCCAAGACAGTAGTCTTCAGTTAGCTTTGCCAGCTTTATTTAAGCATGTTGCTGTATTATGTGAGTTATTCATATTCCATGGCATATTGAAAGTGTGTTTGCTTTTTAGGAATGTAAACTATTAATTTTAAATGAATAAAGTGGCAGTCTTAAACATGGTTCCGAGGGTACTGTAAATTTTAAATAACTGTAAAAAAATTAGGTTCGACCATAGAAATAACTTGGAGTGTGGTCCTGGTCCCAAAAGTTATAGCATGGTTTTGAGTTCAGAGTTACATGGCCAGGTAACTAGCAACAACTGTCTATGTGTCTTGATATCTAGGAACAGCACACAGACTGCATTTTGTTTTCTAATTCTGACCTCATCCCTTGGCTTGGTTCTTTCCCTAAGACCACTAACAAATAAGAAAAGTAACTATTGTATATTTTACTTTTCTCCTGTTTATACATTTCCTCTGATAGAAGACTGATGAACTAAGATATGACAAAACATTGGCCATAAAAAAGGAGAAAATCATACAAAAATTGTACTGAAATTCATAGCCCATATAATCAGCACCCAAATAGAAACTACTGATTTTTATAGTTGAGATCAGGTATAATAGATGTCTAAATATAGAAGACACTGATAATAGTTTACAAAAATTATTAAGGTGATCTCTTAAGTTACTAATCTTTACATTATGAGATACTTAGAGGTTTATTTATAGAATAAAGCAATTTTTATTCTACCTAATAAAAGAAAATCATTATGTCATTGATTTCTTATTTTAAAAAATCTTAATTTTTTCCCATTAATTTTGGTTTGGGTAAGCTGAGTGACATGAGTGGTTCACAGCATATTTTTCCCCAATGGAGCAGTCCAGGCTTTAAAAAATATATGACACTCTCTGATTGAAATATTAGATTACCCAAAGTTTTTTTTTAATTAATAGCCATTTTTAAATAAAAATAGTGTTGCCAGCACTGTACTATAATTAGTTAGTGTCTTTCTTCCCCTGATAATTCACTGTGTGATCCCATCCAGGTCAATTGCTTTTCTTGAACTTAAATTTCTTCACTTTGCAAGGAGGATAAGAATGATTAACATTATGGAACTTGGCATTCATACCCCAGGGCTTAGAATAAGTGTTATAAAGACAGATGGTATATTTGGGAATTGCTTTCATCTTTTGATAATAGTGGCACTCGATCAGTCTCTGAAGATAGACTGATGAAGAACCGATAGTAAAAAAGAAAGTTATGTGTTTACTTCAGTATCTGTGTAAAAGGCAACTCTAGCAATTGTCATAATCCATAGATTTGTTCAGTGTGCCAATGTGGCAATCCAGTAAGATATTAAAAAAAATTTTTGAAGTGGACCTCATGCATTAGTAGTGCCTTATGTTGCCTTATATATCGTCAGTCAGCTACATGAAATGCAATTACAAAAAAAATAAATAATGCTCTTTTGACTTGAAGGTATCCCCACTAGAATTTATAACGTCATTAATTCTGTTCATTTACTTGACTTTCTAATACTCTAAGCACATGTTCAATGAATGTGAGTTGGAGGACTTTGCCTTTTTTAGTATGGCTTCTTCACAGTTGCAAAGTGAAATAAATCCAGGGATGTATTTCTCATAAACTAAGATCAGCCAATATCAGCAAAGGCTTTGTTTCACCTTGACTGGATTAGTGATAAACAACTATTCTAGAAGAAAATGGCTCTGTGTCCTATCACTGCAACCTAATACCTTAGAAAGCATATAGAACCAGTAGATGACTGCTTTGTAAATTCTCCAAATTTCAGCAAGAAGGTCATGAGCTATTTAATAGTATAAAATAAATAACTTTTGCATCAGACAGGAGTTAGTCTTTCCTTATGCAGATTGACAAAAAGGAAGTTTCTAATCTTGTCTCTCTGCCATAAGACAAATGTACAGATGTCATTTATTTTAATAAAGAGAATAAAATACTGTCTTATTTCAACAACACATTTCATAAGTTCTAACATGCCCTGTCTTTCTGTTCCTTAATTCAGTAGTGACAAGCTTGCATTTGTCCCTGTTCCTTTGGCCCTTATTTACCACTGCACCAAAAGCCCACACTACAAGTAATTCTGTCTAAAAATGCCCAGATATGATACATTATTTTTAATATTGGAAGCATCAAATCAATCATTTAGTTCACAGTATTTTTTATGGTCAAGTGGGCATCAGGATTGTCAGCCACATAAAACTTTATTAATCATTTATTTCTCTTGTATGGATGCATGTTCTACAATTCCAGATGAAACAATTTTTCCATGGCAAAGCTTAGTTCATAACTCTTAGCTTATCCTATTTACTCCAACAGAGAAATGAGCAGCCCCCTACATACATAATTTCACAGCTAGATTCACTGTTCAACTGTGCCCTGGTGGATGCTCGGCCATCTATAGATATGGGCATAGTCTAAGACAAGAAATAAAGTTACTTGGAATTTTCAAGTTGCTAATGTTTAGTCTAAAGTAGAATAACTGAGCTTTTCCCCTAATTGGTAAGTTCTTTCTCTCACTGAAGTTCAAAATAGTCTTGTGAAATGTGTTTTTCTCTAAAGGACACCATAAGTGGGCAAGAGCATTTTAATAAGGAATATAGCTGTAAAGCCCTTTAGCAGTGATCAGTGAACACTTAAAAACTAGTATGATCATCACTTTTCTCAAATACTTCAAAGCACTTGGTTCAGAATAGCTGTTCCTTTCCCTCCTGATTTCCCATTTGCCTAGGGTTTGACTCTACATAATCCACACTCTCAAGATCTAGTATTTTGTTACTTCCTTAATAGTGTATGAAGAATTTTTCTTTTATGTAAGCTATTATATAAGGTACTGGAGAGAAATGTTTCATTCTTTAAGTCCATGAAAATAAATTGACAAGAGAGAACAACTATTACCATAAAATTGGAAAAAAAAACCTGTCCACATACTAATTCTAAAAAATTGATTTTTCTGACTCAGGCGCTGCTGTCAGATTTACCTCCTGAATTAGAAGAGATGGATTTCAATCATGCCTCACCGGAGCCTGATGATACCTCATTCAGTGTGTCTTCTTTATCAGAGAAAAATGCCTCAGACAGTTTGTGATTTGAGGGGGTTATATAATACATACAGCCTTTTGGCTGCCTAACAGGTGTGCATTTCAAGATAACTGCATTCTGTTGCCTCAAAATTCCTCAGTTGGAAAAACATATTATTGAAACTGACATATTCTGTGAAGAATGGATAAGATATAATGGCTACAGTGCAAAAATGTACATGAAATTTAAAAACAGCATTTGAGAAATATTTCCAAACTGATAAAACTCTGGGGGAAATTTGTATTTAATTTTTAGCAGTTTATCTATGAAATGCATAATGCCTAATTTCTGAAAGATTTTTGTTTGGTTTTTAGAAGAATCTTAGTTTTAGTAATAGTTTTGACCAGAGACACAAAAATAAAGGTATTTCAACATTACTTATCAAGTTACTAAAGCTTTGTTAGTTTTGTTTTGTAGCCATTACGTCTTTATTCTCTCTCCTTTTCCTATCATTCATATACACTTTTACTCAGGAAAGTGGACTGAAATTTGAAAACAAAACTTTAAAAGTGATTTTACCTGGATGAGTCCTGGGATTTATTTTCCAATTCCTATGAGAATTTGACTTAAGCTAATGATTGAAAATTGAAGTGATCACTGGTATATAGTTGTAAATTGTTGGTATTCTTCCATTTTCTAATCCAAATATTTGGGGGGAGGGGGAAAGCACTATGGAAAAGTAATTCACCAACATGAAATCAAATAAATTATTAAGTGTACAGAAACAAAAAGTTGTAAAAGATTAGTCTTAATAGGGATTCTTCATTGCTGCAAATGACAAATAAGGTCATTTGCAGCATAAAGATAAGATTCACATTCTACTAATAAATTTGTGTAACTGAGTTAGATGAATTGTTGCACAAATATTACACATTTATCACTATCTTCATAATATTTTTTCAATTCTTACATTTTATGAAACAGGAAGTCAAGGTAAGGCAGAGTCTTCTTTTCTAATCTAGTCACTCAGTTTTGCCACAAATTTTCCCTCATTCTCATGTGAGGCTTGTACAGAGCCATCAGCCAAGGATAATACCCAAAAAGAATTATATACTACTATGGTTGTAAATCACAGTCCTCTGAATTTCCTGGACACTTTTCTGTGAGTACACTCCTAAAATGGGCATGCTACCGAGTTGTTCTATTAGTAGGTACCAGATGGCTACACACTGTAGACAATTTTTTGCAGACCATTCCTTCTGGGGTACCAGATGGTATTACCAAAACCCATAGAAGGGAAAATGCCAGTTTCTTAGTTTCTCCCTGAGCACACAGCATCATGTATTTGTGTGTTGCATGGTTAAATTATTATCTATTCTTAAAAGATTAATCAAGTAGCTAGATGGCTCTTTTTTTTTTTTAGAGAGGGAGAGAGAGAGGTGGGGGAGGGGCAGAGGGAGAGAGAGAATCTTAAGCAGGCTCCATGCCCAACATGGAGCCCTATGTGGGACTCAATCTTACAACCTTGAGATCATGACTTGAGCTGAAATCAAGAGTAAGATGCTTAACTGACTGAGCCACGCAGGTGCCCCAACTAGATGGCTCTTTTGGCCATCAAGTTTGTATGTCACATATTTTTGTAATTTGCAAGTAAAACCAATTTTGATCTTGGAATTCAAAGATACCAATTTATGAATGCAAATAGGCAGTCATGTATATCTTTGACCTTGAAATGTCCCCTCCCCACATACGTAAATAGGTAAGGTTCATTGATAATCCTTCATTTTATCAACTATTGTTTATGATTGTTGCCATGCCACTGCTATGGTTCTTTTGTTAACAGAAATATTTCAATGGTTAGGTATGATCCCTTTTAGCTGAAACCCATATGGTTCTTTTCAAATACTGTTTAGTACTCCTTGCTGACAAGTAAAATTCCATTCAGAAAAAGAGTTCTGAGTAAAAGACAGGCATTGGGATTAAATTTATCAGTCACACCAATCCCTCCATGAAATAAAGAGTCCCTACTATACACAGCAAATGTAGAAACCATTTCATAAGGTAGAATGAACAAATTCCAGGCTTTCAAGTCTCTCCTAGGAGCTCCTTTCTATTCATTGAGTTTATCTTTAAACTGCAATTTCTTCTGCTTCAATTTAAGCTCTTTCTTATTTTGGTTCTTGTCACCAAGTAAGGATAGATAATTCTCTCCTACATCTTTCAACTTTATGGATTGTATTTGTCACACTTCAGCAATTAGTCACCAAATCAAAAAATATTCATTGAGCTTCTGCTATAGGGTCATTGGATTTCTACTCCTCAGCAAGCCATAAACTTCAAAACGAATTATGTCTTTTCACTTTCTCAGAGATACTAATAAAAATTATTTAAGTAGAAATTTTAATAGATTTAAAGATTCTGTTAGGTATGATTCCTAGAAAAAATCCTCATCTACAATTTTGAGAAGATGCATAGATGATTTCTTTGTTCCTATTTAAAGTTCTGTTAAAATAGAAACAGTACACGTAGGAATCCTTTTGTTTTGGCATTTGTGTTTCAACACCAGTTATTTCTTTTATTATCATTAAAATTAAAACATTTTTAAAATGAAATGTAGTTGTTCTGTACCAGGGACCAAAAGAAATAGCTGTATCCAAAAATAATAATTGACAGAATTAAATTAAGCACTGCAGATTTTTTAAAAGATACCAAAGGCAAGTATTAAAAGTTTATTATGAAGAAAATATATATTTCTACAAATATATGTTGGAATTTTTTTGAGACATCTTAAAACAGAAAAGATACCAGTTTGGCTGCTTTTGTGACATCTTCATGACTGGGGAGAGAAAAACAACTAATGTTTCTTTCTTCATGGCTTTGACACACTAAAACAGATCATACTATCTGAAACATCTCTCACAAAGACAGATACCAAGGTGACAAAGCTTTTCTTTTTTTTTTCCTTTTAACTACACTTTGATATCTGCTTTCAGCTTAGGATATCCAACCAGTTTCTAAGTAGCAAATGTTTATCTAAGGGCACTCACCTTAAAATGTGTGTTAAAAAACAACATGAAGGTACATTTTGAAGGAAAATGTTAAAAGAAAATTGGTCTTTTGGGAGGGCACCTGTGTGGCTCAGTCTGTTAAGCAGCTGCCTTTGGCTCAGGTCATGTTTTTAGGGTCCTGGGACGGAGCTCAGCATCAGGATCCCTGCTCAGCAGGGAGTCTGCTTCTCCTTCTGCCCCTCCCCCCTGCTCATGCTCTTTCTCTCTCTCTCTGTCTCTCTCTCTCAAATAAATAAATAAAATCTTTTTAAAAAAAGAAAATTGTTTTTTTCATGGAAACTGGGGATGTTTTGTTGTAAGGTCAGGTATCAACTTTAGGACTTCTATGCTACCATTGTGATCATGATAAAAATGTTATTGTTGGAGATGAAAAAGCTACAAACCAATCACATCCTGTGCTCTGTATACTACCAAGACTTCAAGAAATGTCAAAGAGGCCATTTCCCCAAAGGCAGAAGCATCTATTTTAAGGCACTTTCACAGTCAGCCATCTTTAAGTTTATCAGATAAAGCATAAGTGGTGTATTTAAAAGAATTCTAGGCTTTAAATTAGACTTTATTGCTTTATGTTTTGGGGGAGGAGAGGAGATTCAGCCCATTTCCAAGGAATAGTTTCTTCATTTTAGCCTGATAGTTTATGATCATTTTTAGGAGAAATTCTGAAAAATTTAACTCCTGTCCTTCCTCCACATTGTAGTGATGGTATAGCAGGAATATTGTCTATTTTTAAAAATATATTAGATTTTCATTCAGGTCCTAAAAATGACAAATTCTGATATATTAGCCTTTTAAGGGAGCTATGAGTGCTATAGTATCTAAAAGATGAGTAAATGTTTATCTTTGAAGTTGGTGTTATTCTTGGCAGACAACACTATCATATTCATCATATCAAGCTATACTTTGTGATGATATAAGGGAGGATCTTACTAATTGTGAGACTACTAATTGTGAGACTACTAATCAGCATACTATTGCCCCAAACAAACCATCAGATTTGTTAAGAGGGAAAGAGAATAAAATAATATTTTCATGAAAATATAATTATGATTGTTCTGTTAAAGTTTATACTGAGTATACATTGCTCTGCATTGAAATTTTATTTTGTGTTAACTTGTTAAGTAATTCCTTTAAGTGATCCTGCATCCCATTTTACTGATACTACCTCTGAAATATATTACCACCTTAAAACCACATCACTGTAATGTGATCTTTTATAGGGTTTTTATTTAAATTTTTATAGAGGCAATAAATGATTTCCAACTAATAGACATCTATTTCTTTCTTTTAATGTTTATTTTTCTAAGTCTTTGTGTTTTTATTTTTTGAGAGAGAGAGAACACAAGAATTGGGGGAAAAGGGGCAGAGGGAGAAGGAGAGAGAATCTTAAGCAGGCTACACACTCAGTGGGGACCCCAATGCAGGGCTCTAGCTCACAACTCTGAGATCCTAACATGAGCTGAAATTAAAAGTCAGATGCTTAACTGACTGAGCCACCCAGGTGCCCCATAAGTCTTTGTGTTTAAAGCATTGTTCCTTTTTTAAAGGTAATTTTTTTCCTCCCCCAAATAAGGTTCTGATAAAAAGACCCCCAAAATGTGGAGAATAATAAGGTATTAAGGGTGAGAGAAGGGAGAACATGGAATGCTCAAGTGAAAATTTGGTTAACTTCCAAGCTGCCAAGTATGTCATCTTTAATTAACTTTACTTAAGAAAGAATTACTCCAATGTCAATGTAATAGAGTGAATATTCTGTAATACATAAAGGTTTTGTCCAGGATAGGATATTTAAATGGTAAAACCAGAAAGTAAATTGTCACAGTATAAACAAAGAATTGTTATTTCATAGCAATTTTTTTAAGTGGCAGTGTTACATCTAACTCTGGCTCTCTTTGACACCAGTAGAACAAGTGGTTCTGTTTTGGGTAAAATATGCCCAAGCCTTTTTTGTCAAAATCTTAAACCAGTTAAAACTCTTCATGTTACTTAACTAACGGGAGAGTGCAGGGGGTGAGTTTCAAATAGCACATCAGCAGTTTTTCTTCCCAGTTCATAAATTTTCAAGAATGTTTCAAGGAGAGAAATCACATACAAACATGCACTTCAAATGACCCAAGTCTTTCTCAGTCTGCAAAAACATTGAGTTAAGGTGGAGAAATCCTTTGATTTTATAAAAATAAATGAGAATTATTATTTTTTTTTAAAGATTTTATTTATTTGACAGAGAAAGACACAGCGAGAGAGGGAACACAAACGGGGAGTGGGAGAGGGAGAAGCAGACTCCCTGCCGAGCAGGGAGCCCGATGCGGGACTCGATCCAGGGACTCCAGGATCATGACCTGAGCCGAAGGCAGTCGCTTAA